CAGGCAAAGTAAGGGGAAGCAACCATGAAATGGAGAATCATTAATTATCAATTTGAATTAATTGGTAATCAAGCCAATACCCAGCAAAACCATGATTAAAAGATAATGGGGAAAGACAAGATCTTGTAAGCAAAGATCCAGGCCCAGCTGAGCGAGAAATGCGACCAAGTTTGAGGGACCTGCACAGATAAACGAAACCTGAGAGATTAGAACATAGACCAAGTTCCACCACAGAAGAAGATAATCTAGAAATAAAAAATCTCACCTGAGTTCTTCTCCAACCCGATGGATCATAATACACACAACTCCATCATCAACATGGTTGGTAGAAATTGTCAAATCGGTGGGAGTAGCATATACGGTCCATGGCACACTTGCAAAAGCTTGCATTAGAGACTTTGCATCAAGCACTGAAAAGACCAGAATGTGCATTAGAAACACATTATATAGACATCAATTAAGAGAACAGACTTTCATGAGCAAAGCATTATTTGAGCATTCTCAATTTGTTACTTTGACGATGCGATCAGGTGTGAGAAGTGAGAACAGAGCCCTAAAACATTGTATACAATTCAATAAAGCATGTAAAGAAACAGGGGAAAACTCTACAAACAAATACATGATATCAGAAGTCTGGATTTATTACCTCAGGGAGGAGAGGCCATGATATGGAATTATGGAGGGTGGTACGCTTCCTAATGCACCGTATGGTTGACTTGTAAAGAAGGGATGCGAGTTGGAGAGTACGATTTAGGAAGTGATCCTGATCGAATTCATCACCAGAAGTTTCACCGGCTCGGGGGGATGACTTTATCAAGCAATCGACCAAAGGAGCAGCCAATGGGAGCGACGAGGAGAACAAAGGCAAGTCCGGCAGTAAGGGAATAGAAGAGATAGTCGAATCAACGTCACTCTGGTTAAAACCGGGAGCTTTAGAGAGGGAACTAGTGTTTTGGCTGGAAGAGGTGACCGAATGGACATGGCAAGGTCGCTTAGGATTGGGAGCATGTAGAACAGTGACTATGTCCTCCAAGAGAAGAACCTTAAAGTAAACTGAGAACCCATAAACACAACAAAATTTGGTGAAGTTGTTGACATAAAATCCTCTAAATATTCACAGCAAATTCAAATCAACAATTGAACTCTATACGAAATCATTAACCTTGGGCTTAGAAGTTGAGCATGAAAGCTGGCTTAGTTGATATAATATATTTTCCAACACCTGCAAATGTAAGCACTCGAACAATATGTTACACGTAAGGTCACTACAAAAGCTTGAGATATTGACATGTGAAAAAAAAAAAAAAGCTCAAATACCTTTGTAATACTCTTGATCAGAAAACATACCATAGCCACTTTCCTTCAGTTCGTGCCTCCACCACACACGATGCAATGGTGCCTTGGAGCTCGTTTCTCTGACAGGGATGGTCTAGTAGTATTGAGTATGGACAGCTGCCTGCCATTGTAATATATGCATTCTTTCCCTCCTACATTCCCTCTAGACAGACACGAGGACTCATACACATATTCAAGCAGATACAAGGGCGTTACTGTCCCAAAAAATCAAATTATTAGCACTAATGGTAAAACATGGAAACTGCCTACTTACACGTATTTAGTCCTAAGATAAAAGACATGTTTATAGTACACATTGTACGTTTTCATGATTTGCAAGGAATAAGTGGGTTATATGACCAATCTGAGGATTAGGCAAGACAAATACTCAACTTAAACAGGAGAACACAACTTGCTCCTTCGATGAAAGACAAATCACAGTTTGTTCTGATTCCTAATGAAACCATCCCCGAGGATCATAAATTTTGAAGTAAAACATGTAAAGCAGTGACTATGTTGAGACAGTTACGATTGAGCTTTACTTGTGTCTTAAGCCTGTCATCCAACAATGGCATGTACCTATATTTTGAGAAAGGGGGGCATTTAACTAAGGATACCGTAACAAGAATGGGGAAATCCAGTCAGAATCACTGATCATTTATATATCCCTAAATATCATAAAATGAATCCCGAAATCAAATGTGCACAAGTAAGTTTCTGAAAGAACCAGATCCTATGTACTCAAAAAGTTTTACAGGTGCAATATTTTATCCTGCCCATGGGGTTAATTCTCCGCTATATTAATTATCTGAGAAAATATCAACACATAAAAAGTAGCACAAGACCAAATAGCTAATGCGGAGAAGAAACATACCTCAATCAAAGATTTCTCACATGAATCATGAATCGATAGATGATAATGCTTGCTCGCCCCTTTCGGTTGAAAGAAATCCCTAAGACAAGGAGAAAAGGATATCTATATAAGCTAAATGAAGATTTAAAACAAAATTTGCAAACAATTAGGCTTTCTAGACAAGAGGCAAGAAATTACAGAATAAATTCTTGGAAATAAGTATAACCCTTCGAATGCTTGACAACAAGGAAGGTGGTTAAACATCTTTTGTCTAAAAATATAACAGCACATCAGGCAGAAAAATTCACAACTTTCATCAGGTAGTTGATTACTAAATTATCAATCAAGCAGTGACTAGGTATAAAGATGAGAACGATAAGAGCATAGCAGGAGTGTGACACACATGAAACAGTAAAATAAAAGTTAGAGGCTACGGAAAAATCGTGAAAAATCACGCCAAATTAGGTACATATCCAAACACTACGGTATTTAGAGGTACAATCCAATATATGTCCACGTAAGAAGTAAAAAAAATTATGACCAATCAAATAATAGACAATTGATAAAAGGATAAAGAGCACGATCAAATTTGGATAGGTAAGAATGTTAGAAAACTGACCCATCTTTTGTCCACGCACCATGAAACAAAGTAGCACAGCCATCAACCCATCCACATAAGAAAAAAATAACCAGAAACAAGAAGTGAGAACAAAATTTATCCCCTTGACTGTTGTTTCTTTCTGTAATCAGAAAAATAGAGTCTTCGAAATAAATAAAAGAACACATACTTAATCCAAATTCTACAGTTGACTTCCCAAGCAAATTAGGGTAGCCTTAATGCATATCTTAGGATGATTTAACTCATGAAAGATAGAATGATACCTCCAGAGAAGGAATCTTGTTGGAAGATAACAAGATCATCTAGCACAATATTGTAGCGCAAGAGGAAAGAAAGACAAAATTCCAGCAACAATGAAATCATTATAAAATGCAGAGTGCTTGACCTTCAACAGATGATTCCAAGGAGAATAGGCTTTGCATATCCTGATTCGTGATTCATGAATGACTTCAAAATTTCCCATTTCGAGGAATGGTTCCAAATCCTGAAAAAGATGGACAAATCAAAAAGCATAAAATTCTCTATGATTCCTTGCACTGGTAGGACAATATGGAAGGCAACATTATAGGTAGAACGCCTACTCCGATATTTTCATCAAAAGAAGATTATGAAATACCAGTTATAGCTTCTGTAGCAATTTTATGAGTTGAGATAACTTAGAACCATAAAACTTTGGAGTTTGTCTCAAGATAGATGCAACATGTAACTAGATTTGAAACAAAAGCAGCAGATAGAAAAAACTGAACAACTTTTTCTTAAAAAAGGTAATGAAAAAGGGACAAAATTAAGAGCATTAACACAAACCTGGAGTTGGTCATCTAGTACATTAACAATATCTTTGGCCGAATTACATTTGAAAAAAAATCCAGCAAACAAGAAGTTATACTATAACACTGGTCTTGTTATGATAGAGATTGCATTAAACTGAAAGAGGCCACAATTAAAGGCCAAAGTAGTTCTTTAAAGCTCAAAAACAGTAGTGCCACCGAAATTTTCACTTACAAATGACAATCATGTTTATTAGGAGAATAACCTACCAGATTCATAGAACACTGATTGTAGCCTTGGCTCTTCCAATATCTATTAAGGATGTCACCAAAAAAAAAAATCAACTAAAGATAAAAACTAATTACTCTCACCAAAAGAAACACTATGCAAAACCACTAATTACTTTTAACAAACGATTTTAAGAAAATAGCAAAGCCTAATATGAAAAAACTATACCTTCAACATTTACAACATAGTTCTTACACGAGAAATGAACTCAAGTGGTCAATATCATTGCTACCTCAAATTCAATAAGTTATGAAGGCGGTCACTTTCATGATAAAGAACTAGAGTACTACTAATNAAATAAACAANTAGATAGATAGAGAATTCCTTAACTAGAGTANTACTAATCAAATAAACAAATAGATAGATAGAGAATTCCTTACTTTAAGGAGCTTGCTTGGAGCTGAAGCTCTATGACCAAGAATCATGGTAAGCTCTTGAAGCNCAGTCAAATGATGATGACATGCGGCTGACATTCTATAGTGTATTTCTGTGATGAACTACCAAGCAACAAAAGTATGGTGACTGAAGTATTAAACTGAAAAGAACATTGATATCCCATCGTGAAAAAAAAAGCTTCAGTAAATGAATTACCAACTCCTGTCCTATTTGGGAAAATAACATATATCCTGCCAATGACACCCTATCTTGGATAATCTGTGCTGCAGAAACC